TAGCTTTTCAAAATAAACTTTAACCTCAGGCGAAAACTAACCGGAAGTATTTTCACAATAAAACTGTTATAACATTACTGTATGTTTAAACTATCTTATATCATTAAATATTGATTTTAATTTCTAACAGACAACTTCAATTTCAAACATGCTGTTGAGACAAGTGCCCTCAGTTTGAGGCGTGATTGAAGGTCATTCCATGACCAAGGACCATAATAAAAAAGACTCCTTTCTCCAGCCTCAGACCGCACGGCAGGAACCTGGACCCGTATCCAGGCACTGGTTCTGAGGTTGTAAGAGTCACAAACTGGAGCAAATCTGGCACATATGTAGAGTGGAAACTTACCTAAAATGGATACATGAATAAAAACCAATGCTGCATCCTACGCACAGTAAGTGAGGACCATCCAGTTAGGCTGTACAGTGTGCAATGATGAGTCCTATAGGGTGCATCTAATATATAACGCAGTGCAGCATGGTAGAGTGGGTCAAGTTTGGCCCAAACAGGCAAATCTATAGATGGATCACCGTAGTCCAGCTGGGACAGGAATAAGCCAGAGACCAACCTTTTACGGGATGAAGTTGAAAAACAACATTTAAGTCTGAAAAGGAAGCCAAGAGTGAATTTCAATTTCTTTGTTAGAACTTCAATGTGGTGTTTAAAGTTCAGATTACTGTCCAACCAAAAGCCAAGATATTTGTAGGTATCGACAAACTCAACAGAGACGCCATCGAGGGTGTCAATGGAGAGGCAAGAGGACGCTGACTTGGGAGCAAAGAGCATTGCTTTGATTTTCTTACTGTTCAATAGCAGTTTGGAATCAAGAAGCGCATGCTGCAGCGTGATGACATCAGATTTTAAATTGGAAACGGCCATATCCAGAGAAGGAGCATATGAGTATACAATAGTGTCCTCAGCATACATATGATAGGTAGAAAATTGCATCTGATACAAATATTGTTTACATATAATAAAAAGAGCAAGGGCCCCAAAATAGAGCCCTGTGGAACTCCCTTCTCCAAGGTAACAGGGTCAGAGGCAGTACTACCCAGCCTGACGCATTGAGTACGGTCGCTTAGATAACTCTGAAACCAGCAAATGGCATTATGACCGAAACGAGACATCAACATAACATCAGACAGAATGTGGTGATCTACAGAGTCAAATGCTTTGGCTAGGTCAATAAACAATGCAACACAAACTGATTGTTTATCCAAAGCAGCCTTAATATCGTCTAAGACTTTCAGACCGGCAGTCACAGTACTGTGCTTTGATCTGAATCCAGATTGCATAGGGTTAAGGATGTTGTGTGAATTTAAAAAGAGCTTTAGCTGAGTAGAAACTAGGGACTCAAGAATCTTTGATAACGCAGAAAGATTTGAGATAGGACGATAGTTATTCAACTCCATGGGATCACCAGCTTTCAAGAGGGGCGATACCAGAGCTTGCTTCCACACAGCTGGCAGTGTGTGAGTGGGCAGGGAGAGGTTACACATATCAGTTACTGGTTGTGCTATAATCTGAGCTGCGATTTTTTTAAAAGAACGGGTCGAGGCCGTCAGGCCCGGCAGACCTTTTAGAATCAATTAATTGTAAACCCTGTAAGACTTCAGAGACCGAGAAAGATGCTAAATCAAAAACAGGGGAGTTCATCTCTAGACTAGGGCTGTGAGTACGACCATTAAGTCATGACTTTGCTCATCAAACATGGGACCAGCCTTTTTGAAGTGAGCATTGAAAGCATTAGACATGCCATCTGAATCTGAAATAAAAGAATCACTGACGTTCAGTTTTTGTGGGAAACTAGAAACCTTCTTGTTCTGAAGTGATTTAATTGTTTTCCAGAATTTAGAATGGTCATTAAAACAATCAGTGGTTAAGCTCAGATAGTAATCAGCTTTAGCTTTTTTAAATTATTCTTAACTCTGAATTTTCTAAGGGGAGCATATCTATTAATAATCGATAAAAAGTGATCAATACAAAATTGGACGGCAACATCGACAGATGGAATTAACGCTATGAAGTGCCATTTAACCTCCGCCAGATCGTGTAGGAAAGCCTGCTCAGAGAAGTGTTTGAAGCAGCGCCTGAGCACAATAAGGCCCTTGGCTTTGGGCAACTTAGTGTTCCTAACGCAAGCAATAGTACAATGGTCGCTGATATCATTAGGAAAAACACCAACAGACACATACTTATGAGCTGCATTTGTTAGAATGACATCTATAAGGGTATCGTTATTGGGTTTGGCAGGGTTTATTCTAGTGGGACCATCAATAAGCTGAGTTAAGTTCAAAGAATCACAAACCTGCTTAAACTGTGAAGATGTATCACTCAACCAGTCCCAATTGAAATCACCCAATAATATGATTTCAGAAGAAAACGTAGACAACAATTCAGTAAGGCTAGTAGTTGCATCCATGATGGCCGATGGAGGCCTATAACAGCCAATAACAGTGAGAGGAGCATTTGCTATAGTTAGTTGGACTGCTAGCAACTCAAATTGCCTTGGAATTGAAATTGAGTGAAGGACTGAGCACTGTAGTTTCTCAGCAGTGTATATTGCAACACCACCAGCTCTGCCCTTACGATCTGCTCTGAATACATTATATCCATCAATGTGAATAACAGAGTCAGTGACAGACGGTTTTAACCAGGTTTCAGAAACTACAACAACATCAGGCTTAGCAACTAAAAACCAGGTCTTAAAAACATCTAGTTTGGGCACTAGGCTTCTAGCATTAACATGCAGAAAACGGGGGGGAGGGGGGTCACGTGGAAGAGACCAAGATGGCAGCTTAGCTGGGAAGCTCCCGACAACCACACATCATTTAATACAAAATCCGTCCTTACAAGGCAAACATTAACAACACAATATCAGCTTTGTTATTATTATTATTATTTGGACCTGTCTGCTGCATTCGACACGGTGAATCATCAGATCCTCCTTCGCACTCTCCAAGAACTTAGAGTTTCAGGCTCTGCACTTTCCCTCCTCACCTCATACCTCAAAGACCGTACCTACAGGGTTACTCGGAGAGGGTCGGAGTCCGACCCTTGTCAATTAACTACAGGGGTCCCTCAGGGCTCTGTTCTTGGTCCCCTCCTCTTCTCCTTGTACACAAACTCGCTCGGATCTGTCATTAGCCCGCATGGTTTTTCATACCACTGCTACGCTGACGACACCCAATTAATTCTGTCCTTTCCCCGCTCAGAGACCCAGGTCGTTGCACGCATCTCTGCTTGTCTAGCTGACATCTCTCAGTGGATGTCTGCTCACCACCTCAAGCTCAACCTTGACAAGACTGAGCTGCTCTTCCTTCCGGGAAAAGATTGTCCCACTCTTGACCTAACAATCAACATCGGCCCCTCAGTTGTTTCCCCGACTCAGACTGCAAAGAATCTGGGTGTGACCCTAGATAACAACCTGTCCTTCACTGCAAACATCGCTGCTACAACCCGCTGCTGCAGATACACGCTTTACAACATCAGGAAGATACGTCCCCAGCTGACCCAGAAAGCCACTCAGGTTCTGGTCCAGGCTCTCGTCATCTCACGCCTAGACTACTGCAACTCCCTCCTGGCTGGTCTACCTGCATGTGCCATCCGACCTCTGCAGCTCATCCAGAATGCAGTGGCTCGTCTGGTCTTCAACCCTCCTAAATGTTCACACGCCGCTCCTCCGCTCCCTTCACTGGCTTCCGGTAACTGCTAGAATCCACTTCAAGACAATGGTACTTGCGTACCATGCTGCGAATGGTTAAACCGTACACCCCAGCACATGCACTCCGCTCTGCATCAACCAAACGGCTCGCTGCACCCTCGCTGCGAAGGGGACCCAAGTTCCCATCAGCAGAAACACGTGGGTTTGCTATCCTGGCTCCAAGATGGTGGAAGGAGCTCCCCATTGACATCAGGACAGCAGATAGCTTGCACACCTTCCGGCGCAGACTGAAAACTCAGCTCTTTCGACTCCACTTCGAGCGTTAGAACTATTAACAAAAGCACTTATATACTACCAGTTGAGTACTACTTGAAATGTTTGGCTCTATGAAACCTGATGTATTTTATGATTCTGTTTTCTTCAAGTTTGTATTTTGTTGGTCGAATGCACTTATTGTAAGTCGCTTTGGATAAAAGCGTCAGCTAAATGCAATGTAATGTAATGTTATGTCAAACCCTCCTGCGACCAAGGCTTGCGATATTTTCACTCGAGGGCGAACAAGATAGCAACATGGCTAACATAGCTGACGTTTTGAGCTAGTTGAAATCACTACGGGCTGACTTCGGAACAAAGTTGGACAACATCGACACACGTCTGACTGTCGTGGCAACCTCAATGGCTGCATTGGAGAGTAAAGTAACAGAATTAAAACGGGATGTTTCTTCCAATTCAACCCGTATTAACGAGGCCGAAGGCCGCATACACCCGCAGAGAAGACGCTTGAAAAAATTGAGGCCTTACTTGACTCCGTTAACAAACTTATCACTTACCTTGAGTCAAAGACAGACGACCTGGAGAACCGGGGCAGAAGAAAGACTCTACGGCTGTTAGGTATACGAGAAGAAGCCAAGGGCCAACAAACACTCTTCAACTTCGTTAATGACACTGGCTGAGAGGGAGAAAGCAGCAGAGCGGGGTTTCTCCCTGGTGAGTTCTCTCCAATTGGTTTTAATTGTTATTTCATCATGGCAGCGTTTAGCTGAGTTTCTGCTTCTCTCTGCAGCATGTGGCTACAAAGGGGGCGTGGCCAGCAGCTACAAAGGGGGCGTGGCCTTGTAGCCAAGGGCCCAGAATCAGCTCTTTAGGAGCAGGGCTGAAATAGAGGGGGATGAGGCTAAAGGGTGATCTGTATAGATATGGCTCTATCAGTTATTGTTGAAATATAGCACAATAGGTGAGCTTCAACACGTTTTTCTAACCATTTAGGAAAAACAATTATTTCCAAAGCACATCTTTATGTTAATTATCATAACATTTAGTAAAAAATAACAGTCGAGAAATTATTCAAATATATATTTATAACATAAAACATAAACACAGAGTAAAAGCACAGTGAGTAAAATAAGAATAATGATGGTTCTTGGTTATGTTCATGTTCTGATGATATTATTGATATGGATGTTGAGAGTTGTGCTGATGAACTGATCTGATGTTTACGTCTCTTCAGACTTTCTTTCAGGCCTAATATTTCCCACTCAGATCTCTGACTGGTAGCTTGCTAGTGATGCGTCTTATAGCACTGACAGGACCTTTGTTACTGTTTAGAGATTTTAAAACTGACTGAGGGAATCTTTCCGATCATCAGTCACTTCGGCCTCATCATGTGTCTCATCAGATGTAGCTTGGTCATCCATCTTCAGTCTGAAACACTGCGGCTGATTGGTTATGTGCGTCCTCATGTGTATCTTTAAACTGTTTCCCTGTGCAAATGATTTATTACAGACTGAGCAGCTGTATGGTTTCTCTCCTGTATGAACGCTCATGTGTCTATTTAAACTATTAGCCTGTGTAAATGATTTATTACAGACTGAGCAGCCATATGGTTTCTCTCCTGTATGAACTCTCATATGACTTGTTAAACCTGACTTTATTGTAAAATATTTCTTACAGACTGAGCAGCCATATGGTTTCTCTCCTGTATGAACTCTCATGTGAATTGTTAAATGTCCCTTTATTGTAAAATATTTCTTACAGACTGAGCAGCGGTATGGTTTCACTGCAATGTGCTCTATCATGTGTCTATTTAAACTTCTTTCCTGTTTAAATGATTTCTCACAGACTGAGCAGCTGTATGGTTTCTCTGCAGTATGAACTGCCATGTGGCTCTTTAACTGACCTCTCACTGAAAATGATTTCTTACAGACTGAGCAGCTGAATGGTTTCTCTCCTGTGTGAACTCTCATGTGAACTTTCAGACCTAACTTGCGGACAAATCTTTTCCTGCACTGAGAGCACCTAAAGCGTTTCTCTCCAGCACTACACCTTGAATCACTGACAGGGTCTTGTTTATTTTCCTGGGAGTTTGAACCTGACTGAGGTTCTCCGGTCTCCCTCCAACTAGCACTGTCTTCAGTGTCTGGTTCAGGAGAGTCTCCAGGGTTGTCCTCAGCCTCTGGTTCAGAAGAATCTCCAGGGTTGTCCTCAGTCTCTGGTTCAGAAGAGTCTCCAGGGTTGTCCTCAGCCTCTGGTTCAGAAGAGTCTCCAGGGTTGTCTTCAGTGTCTGGTTCAGGAGAGTCTCCAGGGTTGTCCTCAGTCTCTGGTTGTAAATGTCTCTCTGGATCTGAGCTCCTGGCTGGTTCTGGTCCTCCACAGTCCTCTCCATCAGCTTCTGTTTCCATGTGTTCAGTTTGTCTTTGATGAAGCTGAGAGGACTGAGGTTTCTCTTCATCATCTTCACTCTTCACAGGGACAGGAGTGAAGATGAACTCAATGATATCAGCCTCCTCCAGCCCATGAAGCTGCTCTCCCTCCTGACTGATCCAGAGTTCCTCCTGTTCCTCTTTAATGTCTGGGGGGGGCTCTGGGTCCTCCTGGTCCAGACTGGAGCTCCACTCCTGCTGCTCAGGGGGAACCTCTTCTTTAACCACCAGCTGCTGGACGTCTGCAGGAAACAGGAAGCACAGTCAGAAAAACTGTGTTAGAATTTAAAATCTAATCACCTTTACAAGTTGAGTCGTTTTGCAGCCCTAATCAATGCCTTCGTTTATATACTTTTATACCTCTTCTAGTTCAGCCAGATTGTAAACTATCAATTATTTTGGGGACCAATCACAGCTACTCTGCGCCTATAGGATGGAAATACTCCTCTAGTAGTTAAAGTCCTGCATTCAGACCTTATTTAAATAAAGGTATGCACAGTTATTACTTATCGAATCTGCACAAACAAGATATCAGATTAAAGCTGAGATTCCACAGATTCTAGAGGTGTACGTATCGTCACTGTGCTATCAAAACTCACCGCAGCGAAAGCAAATCCAGACAACACACAACGTAGCTTTACAGAGCCAAAACGGCAATATGTCTCACCTTTTGCTATTTCTGATCAAAAGTTGTCTTCAATGGCATTAAAACGATAAAAACGCTGCTGAGGGTTATTCCATAGGTTAATCCAATGTGTCTGTGTCACTTTGAAATGATTACTGATAATCCATCTTCATATTTATGGCAATAAGCCTAGGTTTCAGTTTTCAGAGGTAACATAGCTTTCGGTTTGGGCAAGCTGCGTACGCATCACTCTCACTCCTTATTTGGTAACGTGTATGTGGATTTTAGGAACTCCCCCTCGATTCTATATGTTCTAACGGTTCAAAAGAGATGTCAATCATCAAAATCGAACGAGGAGGCCAGAGATATGGAAAATCCACCCAAATGACCCCAGAAGTGGTTTTCTTTTCTAAATCTCTCTAAAAAGGTCACTTGTTTTGCATCAATCTTGATACAGGGTACTTATTATATGTTATAGTTTGGATTCCTAAAGCTTTTAGTCTACTATCCCATCATTCAAGGGTGGTTTTCACTATAGAGAGGCGAAGTCCCTCCCTTTCCGGGAGCCTCCATGGGACCCCGGAAGCGGAAAATTATACATTGAAGTCAATGGAGAGAGAAAGGTTGTCTTTTGATCCCGTTTGAATTGTGCCACGAATGACACATATGATGTTTGTCAATTTATAAGAACATTTTACAAGTCAAAAAAATAAAAATGTGTCGTAAAACTGTGAAGTTACAATTTTGTTTGTATGAAACCGCTTAGTGAACTACGCTTAGTGAACTACGCTTAGTGAACTACGCTTAGTGAACTACGCTTAGTGAACTACGCTTAGTGAACTACAGGTCTCTGGTCTCGCACAAAACGCGCCACCAACATAAAGATGGCCGTCACGTTAGCACATTTCACCTGTTTCTTTCAGAATGAGGCGAAAAGTATGAAACGAGGTGAACATCACTACAAGTCTGGGCATGTTGAGAGCTGTACATACACGAAAGGGGAGTTAGTCGGTTCTGTAAGAGCAGCGGGACCGGCTTTACAAGGTTTCGGTGAGTAATATGAGTGCAATGTGTAACGTTAATGTCAGCTAGCTAACATTAGCTAACAAGGTACACTAACGTGTTTTGTTTTAGTAACTAGTTTTCTCCTTAAGAAATGTGTGGTCTCTGTGTATGCTGTGGATAACATTAGTGTTCACAAGAACAAGGTACACTCCCGTGTTTTGTTTTAGTTGCTCTTCAGATTGAAGCGGCCAGTTTTATATCGACTATACTGTATGTGTGATCTCCTTTTTCTCGTTGTGTCATTTGAGTGTATTTGCTGTGTGTCGATTCAAGGATTTTGGTTATCTAGGCACAGCTGTGTGTGACTCCCTCTGGTACACTGGTATGTGTTTTCCTAATGTAGAGAGCATTGATTAATTAATTAACTACACACTGAGTCTAGATCCTGACCAAATCCTTTTTTATTGTTGATCAAATGTTTTTCAAAAATGTATTCATACACATTTAGAAAAATACAATGTACAATCACAACCAATACAACACAAATTACAAAAAATACAGAAAAAACAAACAATAACAATCAGACAAGAGGACAAAACTATGGAAAAATAAACCCTCCCACCCCCAGATCCGGACCATCCTTGTATTATTGCTCATTCAATCTATTATAGCATGCTAACAAATGGTACTTACTTTATTTTTACAGATCTGCATGGGAGACGATGGCGCGATGCAGAGCGCTGTCTGTGATTGTGCACAGGAGATGTACAAATGCAGCCACGCTGCAGCATTGGCAATATTTGCCATGTGGCAGATCAGCTCCACAGATGTTGAGTGCCAGTGGAGGAAGCCTGGCACTTCCAAAGTAGTCCAGCCGGTGTCTCAACTTTACCAACAGCGAGAGGAGACATACAACCCACTGGCCAGAGACATCGCCAACTGTCAACTGGGGGGTTGAAAACGAGGCCGAAGGGGTGAAGGCTTTTGTGGAGGCCTATCAAGTGACAGTATTAGAATCGAGTCTGGTCTCTTTGTGAGTGAGTCGGGTGTTTTGGGAGCATCACCCGATGGACTTGTGCAGCCATCTGCCCTGCTGGAGGTGAAGTGTCCACACAGCCAGAGGAACATGACCATCACGGAGGCAGTCCAGTTACCATCCTTCTATCTCCGTGAGGAGGGTGGGTCATATATTCTCAAGGAGAATCACCCATACTGGCACCAGGTCCAAGGGCAGCTGCACATCACAGACCGGAGTCTCTGCTACTTTGTTGTGTGGACCACGAAGGAGGCGATCATCATCCCCATCCCCAAAGACCCTGCATGGCATGGAAATCTCCTCCTCCTGGAGAACTTCTACACCCAGCATATGCTCCCTGTGTTGGCCAGTAGAGAGGAGGACATTTAAATAAACATACTCTTAACACCCTCGGACTCTGCGTTGTGTTTGGTATGTGTGATGGGGTGTTATGCAGAGGGGAGGAAAACAGGACACAGCAGATTGGGATTGTGGTGGAGATGCTGAGCAGTTATTTAATTGTTGCATGTAATTATTATTATACTGCGTGCTTCTTAGTTATTCCATCTTTTGCTGTAACATGGATCTGTATGTAACTCTATATTTAGGCCCATTCCCAAACCGCCCCCTACCCCTCCGTTTGCGCGTTCACGCGGAGGGTCCGCCATATTGAGGGCTGTTCCAAACCAACGAGTGTGGAGCGGTGTGGAGGGGAGTGGGCTATCAAGCCCTCAAACAACGAGTCTGCAGCGGTGCTGACTGGAGACCGGTCTCTACCTGACCGGAGTCACGCTGTGTGTGTCCGTCAGGAAACACGCTGTTAACAAGTAGTTCCAGCAAACATCCACTGATAAACTGCATGTTAGCAACCTCATAATGACCTCATATGTTTTAACTGAGGATCAAACCTGTGTTTAGTCGAGAAAAAGGTAAATGTGTGCATTTTATTATAAAGTTGTGTATATTTACAGACTGTTGCAAAAACTAAGAAGCTTATAAACATCAGGTTTAAAACTAAAAGAGCTTTACAAAAAAGTAACACAATGAAAGATGTTTGGAGTTTTATTTGAGTTATTAATTTACATTTTTTGTCTAAGAGATGCTGATTTGAAACCGTTGTTACAAACAGTTACGGCATTTCCTGTTTCTGCGGAGAGAGGGGAGGCCGTCCCAAAGCTTGCTGCTGTGTTTACTCCCTCTGACAGGAGGAGCCTCGTTGAGCTGCGAGTGAGGCTACAGACGGAGTTCACTCCGTCACGGAGGGGGAGGGTCGAGGGAGTGGTTTGGGATTGGGCCTTACTTGTTATCTACCACACTTCCTTCTACATCATACACCATCATTATACATGATGGTGCATATAGGATATATATATATATTTGTATACATATCTGTAAATTGTATAATTTTATTTAAACGTCTTTTTGATCTCTCTGTCTATAAACACAAACTGAGTAAGATTGACAATAAAGTTGACTTTGAAAAATATATATATTCTTTATGAAAATAGTTGACTGTTGTCAAATGAATCCAAATGAAAGTTGGATTGAACTACAACTACGCCTTTAAATCTCTACGGACTGTTTTTCAGTGGGATGGCAAGTTCCTATCTTTAAACATTTATTAGTTTTTTCTCAGAACAGATTTGATTTTCTGAAGTTAATTTAACTTTGCCGACCATAAGGTCATTATTAAAAAGGTACAATCAATTTGTTTAGGGTTGACTAAAATAATGAAAAACATTCATTTGGATAATTTACTGACAGAATAAGAAACTCAATGATGCTCTACTCACCTGTTCCCTTTTCATAAAGTGAAACAGTTGAAACGATAGATTTTAGTAAACTTAAAAACAACCTTCTCCAAAAGCTATCAAGGAATATACCGAATACTTGTTTTAGAACTTTATTACATATTTGTATATAAATAGTTTGAATGATCCATAATTGACAGAAGCTTGTGTTTACACTGACCTGTTACTCATATATTAATGTCTTCGTAACTTCAGTAAACCACTACCTCACTAATTTCACTTTCATTCATCACGGTTCAGTAAACTAATTGACACATGAAACAGTTTAATCATTATAATAACGTAGGATTGCAACTCTTTGAAACTGTAGGTGGCTCTTAATAGAGCTGTTGTGTTTGGGTGTGCTGGTCTCAGGTCAGTCTAAGCCCTCTCTCCGCGGATGTGGCGGGCCAGCTGGATGGGCATGATGGTGACCCTCTTTACTTGGTTCATCTTACTGGGGGGCAGCTACATGGATGTCGGTGCAGTCCACAATCATTGTGCAGTTGAAGGCAGAATGAAGCACATCTTCATGTCATACAATACAATGACTTTATTTGTAATTGTGTAAAAAAATAAAGCATTGATTAGCAAGCAGGACCTGCAGGAACAGAGAATGGTGATGGAGCTGGGAAGAGAGAAGAATAAAGAAAACAGATCAACTTTATTATCGGATATTAAAAATTCTATTTCAAAACAAGTTGCCGCTCCTACAGTTTTCTAGTATGTAAAGATGATTTCACATGACCTATGCAAAATATCACACTCAATACATGTGTGTCTCTGGGGGGTGCATTGTGCCTTTGATGTATATAAATAATATACCATAACCAAATACTATTACGTACAGTGGAAATCAGGTTGCCAGAGCAGGTCAGTGTGCATGTTCCTCAACGTCTCAGCAGTTCCAGGTGAGGTAAAGAAAATAAAAGAGAAAAAGGTCCGTAACAACACTTTAAAGTAACAACACTTTGAATAATTATCTCTTCTAACAATTTTCTCTCAGTAAGCACACAAC